TTAGCAGTATATAGGCTACCTTCTATCATAACGTGTACCTTTAATGCAGGGGTGTCTAAATTCGGTCCTGGAGGGCCGATTTCCTGGAGAGTTTAGCTCCAACCCTAATCAAACACACCTGAACCAGCTAATCAAGGTCTTACTAGATATACTAGAACAGTGGTGTCCAAACTTGATTCTGGAGGGCCAGAGTCCTGCATAGTTTAACTCTTAACTAGCCTGGAAGTTTTAGTGTACCGAGAAAAAGCTTGATTAGCTGGTTTAATTCATTCATTCAATTCATTCATAATTTCATTGGGGTTAGAACTAAAATATGCAGGATAACGGTCCTCCAAGACCACCTCTGATTTAATGTATCTGTTTGGATCATAGACTGTAAAAGATATGGACATTGTATCCCTTATGTCATCCATAGGTAGGCCCAACCGGAATCTGCCCGCGCAGAATTCTGCAGATATTTTCACAGATTTTTAGCTCATCATTAATTATTTTTATTTACTTGAGTAAATGTGTGTAAATTTATGTTTATTCAGTTTTTTTTAATTAATTTCAGTAATATTATTGGCTAATGTGAAAATGTTTGTACAGTAATATTTTCTGTCTTTTGCTAGATATATTATATGACAAACTTGTTTTATTTACCAAATAAAGTGAATCTAATTGGATTTGGATTTTAAACATTTAATACATGTTAAACAGATATTATTTTTTATTTTACATATTAAAGTTTTAGTTATGATACTCCCAAAATAATTCCACAGAAATCCGCAGACTTTTACCAAAATTCTCTGCAGTGATAGCAAAAACGTCCCCAGATTCCATGTGGCCCTGCCCATAGGTTTCTGAAAAACGCAAAAGAAGCTACAAGTAGGCATGGCTAACTGTCGCTATTTTGTTCACGCATCATTTCACTGACTAGGATACTAAACTAGAGGCGGAGCGTGAGTGGAGCTACAGAAATCTGCTAGCATTTTGCTTAAATGGGCTTTTCTTTGGGAGAAATGCTCAATACTTCATTACCTGCGACTTATTTGTGTTCTGACCTCATGTGCTTGGTTGTACACTATATCAATAAAGTGTTTAGACTTTTAAAAACACTGTTGTAAAACACTGAGCCTCTAGGAATTGTTCTTATGAAATGCAAATTACTTTAAAACACATAATATAGTTAAATATAGTGTTAGTAAATGCAAGGCTATTTTAGAAATCCAGGCACAAAACATGCCTGATGATGTTTCAGATGACTGTTTTAGAGCCTATACAGCTAATCAATTTGTCGGATTCTGGAGTGCATTCAAGGTGTAAAGAAAAACATAAATGATAAATGATTTTAAATAAAACAAATTAATTTATAGAGATGTAGCTATATAAGTATATAATTTTACTCACCTGGGAAATAAAGGCCACGTCAATGGTTTGTAAGCACAATTAAGTATGCCATATCATCTGATAATTGCAAGAATAATTCCAAAAGGGAATTGACTGTGTAAAGTCACAGAACAAAACAAAAATATGATGTATATTCCGAGCTCAGCTGCTAATCAGCCGGAATAAGCTGAGGTGAAGTGACAGCAACCAGCGAGACCTAGCTGTCACTCAAGTGGCCACACGCTTAATTATGCAGACTTAATATAACTTATAAATTAAACAGATGAGTTATATATATATAAAAATCACCCTCAGTTGTAATGAAGGGTACAATTAGCTATTTAAACCAAAATCGTTCTTTGTACCAAGCTATAAACACTTTTTTTCTGCTTTAAAAGTTGGCCATTTTAACAGTGGTGTCAATAGAAATTTGCTCTATATGGAGCCAGGACTAGGGGAATTTCGATGAATTGTAGTTTTAGTTACTTCCGCATTTCTCCACGAGGGAGAGCGGGAGGTTGCCGATTGGTTTGGACCCTTTTTAGATACAGATGTGTTTCTTTTGAAAAGGTCCACCACCCCAATAACAGCTTGTGTAATTTGCTCAGAGAGTTTTGAAAGCACCACTGACTTACCATGGCCACATGATGGCACTGTCTGCTTGTGTTCGTGTGGTTAAGAGTTTGTCAGTGGGTGTCTGTGTTCATAGCCTACTGGATCTGTCTAGATGAAATCAGTAAGCTTCGTTAGCTTCAGGCACAAAGAAAAAACCACACACAGATCCAGCTTTTAATAAACTGGGTGCTCATATTGTCATATTCACTCTAACCTATTTGGAGAGACATATTTTTTTTTTCTCAAAACATACATACTCTTTAAACTGTACTAATAAACCGGTCAGAGAAACAGCTAGGGTCTAGAATAAGGTCACATAGTTGACATGCGTAATGGTGACTGCCTGGAATCTATTATTGAACACGGTATCGATTAATCACTCTGCATGTAAACATGAAAATGGCTAACACAGAACACAGGCTCAGTGTACTTGTTGCTAATATTTTTGTCTTGGTAGTGATTTCAAGAGCAATTTTACTCTTTTATTTCAGCAGTCTGTGCATGCAGTTCTTTGACTTGCTTTGATGGAGTGAACGCTGAGAGAGCAACTGACCTACTTTTTCTTTGTAAGATGCTTTTGGCTTGAGCAGAATTGCACACTGAAGTGTTTTGTAGAGAATGGTTGTAGTTTAGGTGCTACAGTAAATCTATCACTTGTAACATGTACATTATTAACATTGAGAGATTTTAATATACAATGTAGTTTTTAATTTGCCAACATTAAGACAAATTTTTAATCAAATTTGCATACAGTGTGATATAAAAGTGTGCATAAAGTAGCAACCTAAAGTGATAATAATGAGCTTATTTTTAATTGGATAAATGGATTGCCTTTTGTCCAAGGAACTGATAAACAAGTCACATCTAAACAATTCTAAAGTTCTTTATTTTCAGTGAAAGTATTAATCTAACAATAAAATCACACAAAAAGCACCTTGTTAATAATAATAGTTATCAAGTTTGTCCTGAATGTTTACAGGTTTCATCATTTCTGTGAATGCATGTGGGAATAAGAATGAGCTATTTGACAAAATACAACATTAAACATGGCACCAAACACACATGACGCATATCCAAATAAACAGATCTTCTGCCATACACAACTTCAACATTTATGATCTGTTAACCTTGAAAAGTTGAGTTTACCCCAAAACAGTTATTTCATTCATTTACTCACTCTTATGTCTTCACAAACCAATAAGGAATTTGTTCACCTTTATTAGAGGTCCAAGCACCAACGGTGACGGAATCCTATTGAAGATTTTCTTCTTACTATTTATATTTCTGCCCTAATAGTGTCTGGCATTCAGAAATTAGTTCAAAAAGCATTTACCAAGTTTTCATATTGCGAACCAGTTAAAATGAAGTCAATGCGTAAAGCGGAGATTGATTCCTTTCTCATGGACATTGCTAATCCCACTCCCTTCTCTTTTGCTCATCTTTACTGTCATATTCACTGTCCTTTTTCTGTTGTAAAATGTATTTATTTATTTTCTTTTGGCTTAGTCTCTATTTCAGATGTTGCCACAGCAGAATGAACTTCCAACTATTAAGACAAATGTTTTGCGCAGCAGATGCCGTTCCAGCTACCCCACCCCTAACCCTACCAGTCACGGTGACGTCACCCACTTCATGGAGTGCATTGTGTCTCAGCTTGCATCATAAAGGCTTCATCCAAATACTATTGAAATTGTTCGTAGTGAGTTAGAGTGTATGGATGTTTCCCTGTGATGGGTTGCAGCTGGAAAGGCATTCGCTGCGTAACACATATGCTGGATAAGTTGGCGGTTCATTCCCCTGTGGAGACCCCAGATTAAAATAGGGACTAAGCCAAAAAGAAAATAAATGAATAGAAAGCTAATACATTTATAATGGTTTATGGTAGCAAAAAAATATCAGCCAAAACTTTCACTGTTGACGCCAAATATAAGCATTAAAAAGACGTGTGCATCATTCTAGAAATTGTAATCAACTTGCATGAATTGATCACATTTTATCAAATGTATAAAGTAAACAGACTTTATACATTACTATTGCTGTGTATGAAGTAGAGGGGATGGTTAATCTTTTCAAAACATAGCCTTTTCACCCTTCACCCTTGTGTGTTACTCCGCCCACATACAGCGACAAATAGATGACACTACAGTTCACAAATATTGCTGCTGTTGGACAACATAATGTACTTTTAAGGATTTTTTTAGTCAAGAATGCAGTTTATTTATAAGGATAGAGCCTATTTTAAAATATTTATAATTTTGGCGCATCAGATTCAGTTCATTGGCGCCATCAGCCTGTCTGAGCAGAGGAAAGAAAGTGATAGTTGAAGTTCTACCACAAGATGGCAATAGAGACAGATAATAAGTCCTAGGGGAGAAAAACATTTTCTCAGTTTAAGTTTTAAACTAAAGCTGAACCAATCATTACAAATCAGGTAAGTGACTTTCTAAGTTGATCTCTTTTTTTATTTTGTAATGCTGAATTTATACCACAGAAACTGGTAGTGTTTGATTTGCTTTGGCTTTTTTGGGGTAATTTTTGTGATATCCTGACTGCAACAGAGAAATACTGGGAAATCTCTGTAGATTGATGGCATTTCAAGTCTGCTCATGCTGTTCATCACTTTAGACATTATGCTAGAGAATCATTTAAACACTAGTTCTAAAGTGACGTTGGTCAATTAGTAAAGGTTTTTAGAGTTCAGATGTCAGCTGCAGATGTGAATGAGTGGCAGAAGAAAGTAGTTCCTCGTACAAAAGGGTTTTGGAATCCGTGTTTGATTTTCTTTTTTAATAAACAAGATTATGGATTATAAAAGAAGGAAACGAATAAAATTTTGGAAAAATCAAGAGAAAGAAAAAAATATATAAAGATTTTGTAGTTTATAGGAATCTTCAATATTTTGCAATTATTTAAATATCAACTTCTAACAATGTTTAATGACTAAAATATTATTTTAATAAATATATCTGTTGAATAAATGTGTTTTGTTCAAATGCACCAAAATGTATTATCTATATTCACTGAAAGAATTATCAAAATATTGAATATATATTCTGTTTTTTTCTGAACATAAGTTTTTGGTAAAGCCAATTTGAATAAAATGTGGCAGACAGAACAGAAATCAAATCTCTTCATTTCTGTTTTGAAGATGAACAAATGTCTTGCAGGACTGAAATAAAAGTGAGTAAATGATGACATTTCGTATTTCAGGTTGAGCTTAGTCAGCTTACCCATTGCTTGCACTGGTTTGGGACATATACAGCATAAGTCAAGGCCAATACAATAGGCGACCTGATTCATGATTAGTTTAAACAAAAGACTCACTCATTACCAATCAAAGTCTCTTAAATTTGTCATGTTCAAGAGGCATATGTGAATAATGTGAAGTCACTGTGAATCAGCCAGTGTTGGAGTCTTCCGCTGGTTTTAAGGTGTGTAGGCTGTTCCCAGGCGAGGACTTGATGACCCGGACAGCACCCCCGGAAGGGAACGTGTGCTAATGGGGCTGTATCCGGGTTCAGAGCTGCGTCTGGGGCAGAGCTGGGACAGAGGCCTTCCCTGTACGGATCTGCCAGGGGGGCGGCGCAGCACAGGGGACTTTTTAGGGGATTTGGGGAGCTTGTAGAGAAAGACATTGTAGTGGAGTGGGGGACTTGTCTCGGGGACCATTTTTGCCTCTTTGGGGAGCAGCAACTCTAAGTCGATGGTCACACCACCCTGGACATGGATACACATAAAGACACAGGCACAAGTAGACACAAGCATAACAATAAATGACGTACAACACACAGTTACACACAGATGGACACATGGTATACAAAACAAAGAAAAAGCAAAAACAGAAATAAATGAACAGAAATCAAATATATAAATGAGAAAAAACATTATTAAGTCATTTGTTACATCCCAAACAGCATTTTATATACATCCTAAATCGTGCTCAAAGTTATATAGAACTTAAAACGTGACCCAAATTTTTTTATCTAAAATTAGTAATCCAAAGGAGCCCGAGTTGTGAACCCGAATGGTCTGCCATTTTGGGTTAAAAATGATTAAGATTAAGGATTAAATAGAACTACAAATCAATATAAAAATGCTAAAAAAAATTTTAAACATAGAAGATGTGTGAGAATGAGGGTTTAGTACAGAGATGCCTACCATCCCATCTGAGAAGAGAAAGAGAATTTTGGGAAGCGTTGGGGTTAATGCCTTTAATGCACATTGTAATTTAATGTTTCGATTAAAAGTTGTAAACGAATACAATTTTGGGTTTGTTTTTTTTAACAATCATACTGTTGCTCAACATATAGAGCACAATTCAGAAGTTCTCGGTGAGCAAATCAAGGCAAAGGCATCTTGGCTAGTGTATTCGGCATTAAACTCCATCGTGTTATAAATGGAATTATGTGTGCATTATAATAGGGCCGTTATAAAATGTAAAATAATATATTATGCAATTGTTCATATGATTAATGTTTTCCATTTATTTTGAAGTAATAATAATAACTTTGTAATACAGTTGGATGTACAGTTGAAGTCAGAACTATTAGCCCCCTTTTTATTTTTCCCCCAATTTCGGTTTAATGGAGAGAAGATTATTTCAACAAATTTCTAACATGATAGTTTTAATAACTCATTTCTAATAACTGATTTATTTTATCTTTGCCATGATGACAGTAAATAATATTTGAGTAAATATTTTTCAAGATACTAGTATTCAGCTTAAAGTGACATTTAAAGGCTTAACTGGGTTAACTAGACAGGGTAGGGTAATTAGGCAATTTATTTTATAACAATGGTTTGTTCTGTAGACAATATATAGATTAAAGGGGCTAATAATTTCAATCTTAAAATGGTTTTTAAAAAATGTAAAACTGCTTTTATTCTAGCCAAAATAAAACATATTTTTTATGGTTTTATGGTTTTTGGCCTTTCATAGGAAAAAGCTTGAGCATCCCTGGTTTAGTAGAAGTGTTTTAGATAGATAGGTGATTGAAAGAACAACATTGTGAAGTTTTGAAAAGAATCGTTTCTGTTTCTTTCAATTATTGGCATGTGTGCTGCTTTATATTATAAAGTAGGAATTTAAAATAAATGAATCATGAAAATGTAAATTGACAAAAAGTTGGACATGGCAATATGAATGGTGATGGACAAAGATGGAATTATGACATAGAATTATTCAAAGACTCAAGAGCATACAATCCTTACAGAAAACAACATTCACCTTCACATGTTAAAATTAATGGTTTTGGAACATTTTGACATGAAAAATATGATAATACAAAGCTTCATGCATTTCAGATGTGATTTTAACATGAGTCTTCAAGTTTTTCTGTATAGGTACAGACTTAGAAGTATGTATGTTTTCCTGAAAAATGTACATTATGATATAGTATAAGTATCCATTTTGGACAAAGCAGTTGTTTTGAGAATATTGCTGTAAATCAAGCAATTTATCAGTTGAGGCTAAACTGGCACAAACAAAAGCCACTGAAAAGACTTGTGCATGATTCTAGAGCTTGTAATCAGCTTGCAGGACAGAGGGATTTACTTTACTTTTGCCCTGTATGATGTTAAGGGAATGGTTAATCTTTTTGAAACCCTTTTTAATACCTTCATTTGTGACTCATTTTCAATGGTCAAATTTAGCAAACTGAGGGCCAGCTTGTTTTTATTTAGTATGCTCATAACTGCTATGCAGACATCTGGCATTAGTCACCAAATTAAATCAGATCTTGTATCAGTTACTCCAACATTGGAGCTCAGTTTCTGCCCTTTAAATAAACTCTGAAGCAAAAGCAGCTTTTCAAACGCTCACTTTCACTAAGCAGTTTTTAAATCTTAATTTATGTTTGGATATATGTTATAATATAAATATACAATGGGGTAAATAAGTATTCAACACGTCACCATTTTTCTCAGAAAACATATTTCTAAAGGTGGTGTTGACTTGACATTTTCACTAGATGTTGGTAACAATCAACGAAAGCCATATTTGCTGTGGGATAATTGGAAGGTAATAGGAGTGTTAGGGGTAACAGGCCTGAATATAGTGGACATCATTTTTAATACAACAAGTTATCAGAGTTGATCAAAGTGGAAGAAACTGGAAAATTAAAGACTAGAACAAGAAGTGTGCAAATTGTTAGGAGAAAAAAAAGTACAATTGGGGTATTTGGTTATCTGTGGATATACTGCACATATTTTGTGTTCAGCAGAAACGTGTTTAAACTGAACACAAAATATGTGCAGTTGAGAAAAGTCTTATTTTTTTATTTATTTTTTTTTGGTACAGAAAATTAATATAAAAAATGGACTTATGTCTGGGGTGTGGCCAATGGAGGACTGGAGAATAATTGACAAGTGACGAAATCCACTAAACTCCACCTGTTAATATCAGCTGCATATATAAGTTAAAGTGAGGAAATGAAAATTGTTGCGCAAATCCTGAATGTAACTTTTGCATTACATTAAGGATAACAGAATTCTGTAAATCAAATAATTTATTTATATTTAATAAATTGTTACGATTTTTGACTTTGAAAAAAACCTCTTCTGACCTTTTTTATTGAACAAGCATGAAATTGATTGAATATTTCAAAAATGCAAAGAAAACGATTTTAATTAGTTTACAAATTAAGCTATGTGTAATAAAATGAAATGACACAAGAATGTTTTTTTTGAAAAAAGTATTAAACACATTAAAGGTGCAGTAGGTGATCTGCCAAAATGCTAACAGCTTAGCATATTATCTTTGGACGGCGGGGAGGTACTGTGATTCAAAGCCACACCCCCTGAAATCACGAGCGCGCGCACGGCGCCACAACAGCAGACAGACAACCCACTAGTTCATGTCATTCGCCAGTTAGTTAGTGCCAGTGGCGTGCAGGAATTACATTTATTACTTAGCCACACTTACATGCTATTGCAGAGCGAATATTCAGAGTAGCATGGTAAACAGTATAGGAAGGCTGTCATTGTTCAAAAATGACCCAATGTGAATATAAAAGCAACTTCAGCTCAATAAAGCAGGTTAGGCGGAAAAGCGCTATTTACTGATGTTTTGCGCAGAAGTCCGAATCTACATTTGCTGACAGACAGTCTGAGCTGCTTATCGGAATTATGGGAGATGTCGGTTCGACTCTATTTAATTGGATGAACATTTTTTAGTTTTATCCCTTAACCAGATTATGAAAATACATATAAACACATTTAAATCATTTACTGTAATCGTTACTATTGGACTGTGAAGAAACTTTCAACCAGCTCAACAAAAAATGTTTCTGAAGACAATCACCTACTGCACCTTTAAGAAAGGACGGTGTAGAAAGGCAGTTAAAGCAGCTGAAATCTCTCAGTAGTTATTCAGCAACCCTTTATATAAAGTATTAAATACATTTCAGTAGTTCAGTGCATTATCCTTGTGTCATTACATTGTTATTACATATAATAACATAATAATGTATATTTTTTTTGTTCTGTTATATTTTTATGTTTGTAATGTTTGGGTTTTTACCAAAATCTGGTTCAATTCCATGTCAACAGGTCCTTTACAATATTTTTCCCAGAAAAAAAAAAAACATGTTAAATTGAATTGAATTGAATTGAATTTTATTTGACAGATTTTAGACAAACTGTACAAAAAGTATTCCATACACTTTGTTAAAAAAAACTGTAGAGGATAAAAACACAATAAAGCCCTGGGCTTATTTCCATTGTGGTCCTCTGTTAAATTAAAACAATGTATGGCTTCATAATACTAATGAAGAATAAAACAAACAGTCGCCACAGCGGTACAAACAGCCAACCTATCCAGCACAATGTCCCTCCAGCCGCCAACCTATTCACACTCAAGTAACATAATTTAAAAAATCCTCATCCACCATGCAAAACTAATTATCCTCATCAAACAACCATCTTTTAATAGCTTTTTTGAACAACCTTAAATCTTTTATTTCCTTGATTGCTTTTGGTAGTTTGTTCCACATGATTGCACTTGTATATAAAAACATATTTTTCCCCACTAAACTTCTAAATTTAAATAAACAAATATTAAAATCCCAACTCCTAGTACTGTATGAATGCTGTTGCCTCACCATTTGAAAATAGTTCATCAAATAGCTAGGAACCACATTATTAAACATTTTACGTACCATTCCCAGTTTTAAAAAACACACTCTATTACTAACAGTTAACATACCTAATTTATTAAAAGACTCTTTGTGCAAATGTGCTCTAGGATGCATTTTTAAAATTATTCGTACTAATTTATTTTGTGCCTTTTGCAATTTCTCCTTCAAATTTTGTGAGCAGCTACTGTACCAAAATGACGTAGCATAATCAAAATGGGGTTGAATTAAAGCTCCTGCCAACAATTGTAAAGAATGAACATCCAAAAGATCAGATTGCCTTGCTAAAAACCTAATTTTTTCCACAAATCTTCGTAATAACTTTTTTTGCCATAGCATCTCCTGATAATTTATTATCTATTAAGCAACCCAAATAGTTTATCACATTTTTTGACTGAATTTTCCAATCATTAATCTTAACTACCAAATTATCATCTTTTTTTAATTTCACTCTTGAAGCAAATAAAATAGCCTCTGTTTTACCCATGTGTAAAGAAAGTTTGTTGTCTAAAAACCAGTTGTAAACACTTTTTAACTGTGAACTCATAATTTCTTCCAGGGCCCTTTTGTCATGATGAGATACTAAAATTGCGGCATCATCAGCATAAAGATAGAGCTCCTCTGAACACGCTATTTTTAAATCATTAATATATAAAAGAAAAAATAATGGACCTAAAATACTTCCTTGAGGTACTCCACAGTTGATTGATAAGGGAGCAGATAATATACCCTTTATATCGACTCTCTGGTTTCTATCATGCAGATATGACTGAACCCACTTTAAAGACACTTTATCAAATCCAATTGCCTTTAATTTATATAGTAAAATTTGATGGTCCACAGTGTCAAAAGCCTTCTGAAGGTCCAGCAGCACCATTCCACAATAGTTGCCACCATCTACAGCTCTCCGTATTTTGTCTGTCATATGTAATATACATGTCTCGGTGGAATGCAATGCTCTAAAACCTGACTGTAACTCATACAAAATATGTTTTTTAGTAATGTAGTTGACTATCTGTTCGTGTACAATTTTTTCCAGAATTTTAGACATAACCCCTAAGATTGATACAGGTCTATAGTTAATCATATCTAACGTACTTCCTTTTTTATATAATGGTATAACTCTAGCACTTTTAAAATCACATGGTATTTTCCCTTGTTCAATAGATAAATTTAAAATATGTGACACCAAGGGGGCAATCACTTTAACAGAGTCTTTAAAAAATCTAGCAGGAATATTATCAACTCCAGGAGCCTTATTTAATTTTAACTCACTAATAATTTTTAAAACTTCACTTTCTGTAACAGGTCTCAGACTAAAAGAATCCGGCAAAATGTCCTGTTGTCTATAAAAAGAAAACACTCTATCTTCATTGTAAATATCAGGTTGCCCTGGAAGCTGACCACATAATTTTTTTGCTAACAATATAAAATACTGATTAAAAGATTCGGCAATATCCTTCGGATGAACTATTAATTTGTCTTCTACCTTTAAGTTAATTTTAGATGATTTCCTACTTTTAGCATTTGAATAACCTAAATTTCTCAGTACACCCCAAAGTTTTTTTGGATCAAATTTATTTTCATTGATCTTATCCTTAAAAAAAACCCTTTTTGCTTCTCTTATTTTGTTCCTAACCTCATTTCTCTTTAATTTATAAAACTCATAACTGCTACAATCACTATCCTTCCTAAACTTGGCAAAACTCTCATCTCTTATCTTTAACAGTTGTAAAATTTCATCTGTAATCCAAGGGTCTGATCTTTGTTTAACTCTTATTTTTTTATATGGTGCTATTTTATTCAAAGCATTACTGAACAGATCCTTAAAACAATCCCATGCTGCCTCCACATCCTTGGATCCCCATACCCCGGACCAATCAACTTTATCCAATATATCACAAAATAAATTAGGACTATAATTTTTCATTGACCTCACTAAAACAGTATTATGACCCATAAGCTTCACCTTTTGCACTTTTCTACATAAATATACTAAAAAATGATCACTCATACTACACTCAATAACACCACTACAACTTATCTTATCTGAATCAGATGTAAGAATCAAATCTATAATAGACTGCGATTTGGGAGTAATTCTAGTTGGAACCTTAATAATTTGCTTCAATCCAAAAAAATCTGAAAATACTTTTTTCCGCGCTGTATGTACTATTGAGTCATTACATTATGACCACCCAAGCCTAGACCAAGTAGCATGGCTTGCAATTGAATTGTGTCTTTGGTGCAGTTCACAGATCAGTATGTATACTGCCTCAAGACAAGCAGAAAAGTGTTTGATGCCAGATTGGGAAAATCTTCTCATTTATCGGAGTTTGATAAAAGATTATGATGTCACAACACCTCGAATCTTCAGTCTCAGAAATGCTGCACTGTAAAGAGTATGCATCAAAAGTAGTACACAGATAACCAAAAGATGAATCACTGTCTAGCCATGTGTCATCCACAGCTCTCTGATGGGAAAGGAAAGCAAAAGCTGTTATGTGTTGTTCACAGTTACTGCATGACAACAGTGCAACAAATCACCAGCAGCTACAACAGTAGTGACCAGGATTATGTCACATCACACAGTTCATCACAGCCTTTTGTGTGTGAGCCAATGATATGGTAACTGTACACAAATTGCTCTCAACCAAGATTTTTGAGTTTGGACAGTGAATGTTTGAAAGAAAGTCACCTGGTGTGATAAAAAAAAAAAAGATTCCTGGTACATAAAGTTGACGGCCAAGGACAGAAAAATCAATTTCCAACAAAGGCTTTGGCACTTTTTGCCAGGGATAATGGTGTTATGTTGTGGGCAATGTTTTGTTGAGGCACAATAGGTTCCGTTATCAAATTAGCACAATCCCTGTTTTCAGGTCTCTGATCATTGCTGCTGACCCATTCATCGCCATCATAAAGAATGATTCATGGAATATTCTAGTAATATTAATGCCTTGGCATCCAAATTCACCTGACTTGATATCGATCAAACATTTTTGGTTTAACCTGGAAAAGTACGTTTGTCCTACATCACTGCCATTCCACAATTTTTAGGATCCAAAGGACCTGATGTTGAGGTTTTAAGTTCTTTCCCACTTTATGTTACAGCATGGGTTTGTTTAGTGTGGCTCAATTTTGTTTTTTTAAACTGTGTTATACTTGCTACTTTTTAATCCTTTTTCAAATGAGCTCCCCCAACTAGAGCTGGGGTGATTTTGAATGAAATAGATTTTCAGGAAATCACGGCAGTAAATTGCACACAACTATAGCAATAATCCCACCCACTTTAAGAAACATTTAATTGCAGTAAAAATGCAAACAGAGCTGAGCAAAACTGAACTGAAGTGAGTATCTTTAATGTGTTTTTATTGTTTACTGTACTGCAAAGTGAAAGCACGGCTAATCACATACTATCACATAATTTACAAAGGAGACCTGCTGCATCAAACATAACTCAGTCTACAGCTTATTAAGTGGGTGGTCATAATGTCATTGGTGTGTGTGTGTGTGTGTGTGTGTGTGTGTGTGTGTGTGTGTGTGTGTGTGTGTGTGTGTGTGTGTACATAAACAAACAAAATAAAATATAAAATATACTTTTGAAAAAATTATGTAAGATAAATTAAATAATTCCATACAGTGACATTTTATAATTTAGTCATAAAATTAGCCTTTTCTATTTGCCAAATAGCAAACATTGCTCAGCAAATGATAAAATGTCATGGGAATTATTTTAGTTTTTGTCAAAAATATACTAAACCCAACATGTCATCCTTTAGTCTTATAATAAAGTATTGATATGAGGGTGAAATGTACCTGAGGAACGCTAAAGCCATGCACAGGAGCCAAGCAAAAGAGTGAGGAGGAGCAGTAAATGTGAAAAGCAGTCAAAATGGGAGCAGTGGAGTTCAGAAATACACTGGCACTTCGTTGTGTAATTGTACAATTTGTTTTTATTCCAAACAAACTGGCTTTATTTATTCTCATTTCTCAATTTTCACAAAAAAAAAAAAAAAAAACATTGCAAAGTACAAAAAAAATCAGTACATCAAAATAATCCGAATCAGTTAGTTTCAAGACACATTGCGCATCGAAACAGTATCATACTGCATGTAAATACCAATCCAAGCAGTATTTGTAAGTATATATTCAGACCTACTCACTGAAGAAGTCAAGAAACATCTACAAATGTCAATTTTAGGACACTGTCTAGCTATATAATTTCCCACAGACAGTTTCTTTATTACGAAAGACCACCAATGCATGCTGACTAGAGTAAGGCAGGACAGACAGGAGTTCAGATAGTGAAGGTGTCACAGCGGTGAGGACTGAAGGTCAAAGGTTAAAAACCTGATGGCTAAACCTTTGCTTTGAGGGGTGTAGAGTGTCATAGTGTAGCGTGACGTAGCATAACAAAGCGTTGACATAACACAGTGCAGCATGACATCAGCAGTGACAGCAAGCAAGGACAAGGTGAATGTCTGGCAATTGGAAATCCACCATATGGTGACAGCACACAAACATACGCTAGCATGCTAGTTCAGGGTTTCCTTTGTGTATTTTGAGGCTGAAAGAGTGCCATGTCAATTATTAATCCACTAATTAAGCCAATTTAGTAACTTTGAGTGTGTCAGTCACAGCACCAGTGTGTGGCAATGAAGTGTTACTACACGTTGTTCACATTGTTCTGCGGTGAGTTTACCTCCTCTGCATTGTCCTCTGTGGCAGGCTTGTCGTTTTCCAGTTTTGGCGTGACTGAGTTCTGGTTGTTCAAAGACTCGTCCTCTTTAGGGGGACATTTGCATGGCTCTTCTTTGCTTGTGTCATCCTGTGGAGTAACATACATACACGAGATTATTGAAAGTACAGACAATTCTGAAGTCTATTATAGCTGCAGATGGACAAAAGTAACACATTGTTTTTCACTTCACTACTGTGTTTATGTGCATTTTACAAGTACTGTAAATCATTTGAGTATTTTTATTTTAACGATCACTACATTAAAAAGCCAAATATATATATATCATTCTTGGTTATATTGAACTGGAAAAAGTCATTATCCACTCAGAAGTGTGATGAGGTCTCCAATTTAAGAACGATCTTCAGTTTATGAAATGCATGTTTTAACAAAAAGTACCTCACATTAAAAAGTACATACAAAGATGTGCTTGAAAAGAAAGTAGTACCTACTATATAGTATAATACAGTAATATAGTAGTACTTAACCATAGATATATACACTAGATATCGCATACGGACCCTGAGCATGCGTCAACACCGCCGCCACATTTGTACAGTGCTCCCAGGACAAATGTCATTCAGCCGCATTAGTCAAGACTAAAGCCAATCTCAAGATGCTGGACTTTTGGGCTGTGTACAGGTGTAGTAACGAGCGAACCAAGAAAACAAAGCATAAAGTTATTAAATTTCATAGGTATGTAAGGTCCACCCAATTGGCCCAATGAAGGTGTCCACTGGTGGACGAAGGTTCACTGCGTGTTTCCAGTGCACAATGTTGTTTCAGTTTAACTTTAACTCATATCTGACTCCAATTTTAATAGGGGGTGGTTTAGAATATTCAGTCAGATCCCTAAAATACAGTTAGTGGGCCCAATGCTCCATGTCAACTGGACTTTAGTCCGTCTACTGACCTGACGCAGGAAGTGCGGAAACAAGGATACAGTGTAATCTACTACAATGAATAATTACAGAGTAAGCAGAATGTGTTCAAACAAAAACAATTTAACAATCAGGGAAATATGTATTATGCCAATTATTCAGTCAATTCATAAACAATCAATACAAAACATTAAATTCTCAAAGATAGATCTACAATCAAAAAATGCATACCTGACTTCAAAGTATACATAGTAAAGCATGACAGCTCCACACTACGGCCCTGTTTACACTAGTACGTTTTAGTTTTAAAACGGCGTTTTAGAATGAAAACGATCCGCGTCCACACTCGCGTTTTACCCAGCGTTTCTGAACTGCTCTCCGTCCACACCAAAACGCTGAAAACGCACATCACGTGACCACACAGACGCTCTCGGGCAAGCGCTGCAGCCCATCTACCCAGATGAGAGCTCTGCTAGTCGGACTTCTCATCAAGCATCTCCCGCTGGATCTAATCTCACTATATTTATTAAACGGGATATTTAATTTATCTTGTTGTCTTTATCTAACGACATATTCCCTGACTTTGGGCATTGGAATCTATTACTTGTTCTCACGTAACGTGTTTTGGCTGAGCGCAAAGATAAATTAATGATTAATGTAACCACGTACATTCTGTATACTGACTGATCGCTTGCCTTTATTTCCTATAATGTATAAACTTATTGTATGTTATACTTTTAAAATGGCCATTATCGATTCTTAAAACTGATACGCAGCAAAAGAGAGGCTGTGTTTCGTATTTTCACTGAAATTGAAAGGAGGCAGTTGTTATCGGCTCCGTTTTGTTATAAATATCCACACAGTGAAGATGACGCTCATCTTATGCAGCACGACGCCTCAACATGTCTGCTGTCTAAGTTGCTAATATTAAAATGAAAATAGGCAGTTCCTTAAATCATGTTTACATTTTATTGTTGATAAAGTGAAACAACGAAGCCAGGGTGATGTGAATGAAGTTATAAAGTACACTGTTCCCTTTGAAGATTTGCCCGTGTCCTCGGTATAGTCTGCTTTTCCATATCAAACTGAGAAGAAAAGACTGCAGCCTTGATCAAACTTGCGAAGTCTGAACTTACACGGAGAGAATGCAGGACTGAACTGTGCGTGTTAGGCTACTTAATATTCAGGAAAAGCCCCAATCAGAGAGGCGAACGTCTGCAGCCCCGCCTCCGTTTTCAGATGTCTCCGTTTTCCATCATCCACACTGAGACGGAGCAGCAGCGTTTCAGAATGAAAACGGCCTCTCCAGCGTTTTCGAAACGATCCGTTTTCGGCACACGAGAACTCCGGCGTAGTGTGGACGGTTGGCGTAACCGTAGCAAAACTTATGCGTTTTCAAACTTAAACGCTTTAGTGTAAACGGGGCCTACGTGTTGATCTGGTTACAGAAACACCCTGACACTTTCCTTTAAATAGTCAAACTAGGAATATCATTCAAGGAGGGATATGTGTGGAACAACAAAATGCGTTTGCAAGTAAGATCTGAAGAGCTTCTGCCTATAGGGAACAAATGGTAATTTGAATAGAAGCCCCCTAGATAAAGGCACACCCTTAGCAGTGGTTTAAAAGATACCTGAAGTTATATATCTATTATTTTGATTATGCCTATTTCTGAGGGAATGAGATTGTTGTACCAATCACACTGAGACATTTCAAATGACATCTAACATGATAGATAAAGTCACTTGGATTGATATAGAACATTCATATTTTGAGATGACCATTCTGTGTGACATGAAGAGGAAGGTGAGTAAACAGGGGGTTGCGGGAGATGATTTAAATGTAAATGAAGGATAGGAGAGGAGTGAACTTTCCCACATTTCCACCTGGTGGGGTGTGGAGCCAGCCCAAGCTTGTACTGTCAAAGATATCAAAGTATCTGGTATCTCAAATCAGGTTCGATTTCGTTTTATAAGTTTTTGTATGTTATAAACTTTTGTGCTAAACAAGCAACACTACTGATGATAATACAGTCACTTACTGGACTGACCATAAGACAAAGTAGCACCAACTTGCACTAAATTCTAAGCTTATGTTAAAGATTGTTGAATAAACTTAGCAAACAATGTAAAGGAAATATGTCAACAAGACGCTGCGGTGCCAAAACCTTCTATTATTGACGGCTAAGAGTTTTGAAATAACTTATAAGGGTGCTTGATAACAAAGTGCCTGTGTTTCGATGTGCATACTGTCCACCTTAAATTAGTGGATAATACAAATGTTATATATACAAATGTTTGCATACTGACCACTGGAAAAACTCCCTATCGTAGATATATGTATACATTTTTACATATGTATGGCTTCAGATGGCCAGTCCTCCGCTACACCTTGAGCCCACATTCATTTCAAAGGTGTGCAACCCTGTACTAAAATGGTGGCTCTATTGACGCATTTCTTCCAATAGACAACAACAATCTTTGTTGAGAAAAGGTAAATTTGGTCGTTTTGACTGTAAGTTATTAAATTTGGCAACAGTGTATTGAGTTTTTTTTATATTTATTATTATTAGTATTAGTGTTAAGCATCTTTCCAAAATACAAAGGTGTTAATTCTAAAGATGTCATTTACTTGAAATTTTGTTGTTAGTAACAGCCTGAGAAATCCATATATGCTAAGAAAACAAATCTAATGAGTTTACAAATATAATTGCATAACTTCATAAGAAAATGAAATGATGCGGGGGAAAAGTATTGAATACAAGAAGAAAGGCAATGAAAGCTCAGACAGCAACAGAAATCTCTCAGAAGTTATTCAGCAACCCTTTGCCCTTGGTCAGTGTAAATTAGTTTTAAGCCTAGTTCACACTACAGGATTTTAAACATCAGCAGATCACTAGCCGCGTTTCCACTATCGCGCCTAAAGCGAGCGAGCCAGGGCGAGCCAAGGCCAGTGGCGTTTCCACTGTCACTTCCGGGGCCTAATCGGGCCAAAGCGGGGCTTTCTCGGGGCCAACGGCCAGCCTTTTTCGGCCCGCCGAATACCTTGGGCCAAGGAGGGCCAGCCGGGGTTTGGGGCGGAGTGAAAGGAGAGGCGGAAAGAAAAGGGAAAGAAAACATCTGGAACAAATTATAGGCTGGGGTCTTTTTTGGATATGATCGCCCTTAAGTTTCTCTTTTAAATGTAAGGCTGTTGCATAAAATGATCTTTCTTTGCTGCATCTTTGATGTTTCAATAACGCATAATAATCTTTACACCATATTAAAGACACAGCAGACAGTAAAGGTTTTCAAGAGGTTTTGTCAAGTTTAATACTGTGTGTTTTTGCGCGTTTAGAGGCCTGTGTGTGTGAGACCGAAAAAAAGAGCGCTCCATTCATAGCTCTGTTGATGCCGCGAGCGGCTTTTTTCTTTTCTTTTTATTGTTTTAATTTATTTTGGAGATAATACACTATATGAATACAACAGTAGGACATTAAACTTTACAAATTTCATGTCCACTTTTGTAGGCTCAAAACAACAGTGTCATATCTAGATAAAATAGCCCTATATTGAAATAATTTAAAGAATTACAAATATTAGATAGGCCTATAATAAAATCACATTAAATAAATAAACCAATATAAAACTAACAAAAGCTATAGCTATAACAATTAGGTACTATATCAAACTGTTTCAAATTTATATTAAACTTTTATTTTTCAAAAGCCTCTTTGAAAAAAAGATTTTAGATATTTTCTAAAATAATAAAAATAAATAAACACCGGAAAATGTTTTAAATATTATTTATAAAGTATTTGGATACGATGAAATTAATCAAATCATGCAAACAGAGCATTTTCGGGGTGAGTGAACGCAGAAATAGGCGACCTTTTTTTCTGTCTGCAGCCGCGCAGCACTTTTTTGACGGGGAAAACTGCAAGTTCAAAATGTGTTCTGTGTCCTCAAACAAGTGTGTATGTTTTTATATGACGTGGTAAAATTAAAAAAGGAAATTTTAAATACATAAAGAGCTTTATTAGTGCATAGCTGCTGAGCGCAACGAAATATAGGCTATATTTTATTACGTGCTGCTCTTATGTGCTGAAACACTGAACACTTTCCTTTACTTAAGATATAATAAGCAACATCTTTAAATAAATGGAATCACCTATTAAGTGTCATAAAGCCTATAGGGGGAAAAAAAATCATGTTTCAGTTCTCTCCGGAG